AAATTACTATAATTTTGCGTAAATTTGTACGTATAAGTTTATGAAGTCAAAATTACAGCTGCTTTCATAAATTCTGGGACATCTGGTAAAAAATTGACCGACCGAATATTTGCGATTCGATAAGTTTGTGATTTCGGTAATGATTGCTGCCGATTCAGAACTTATAGAATCAGCAAATATTTGGTCGGTCAGTTTTTTGCTAGATGTCCCAGAATTTATGAAAACAGCTGTAATATAATTTTTGTTATATGAATAACATTAGCCAGAACTGGCACATATGTATATACACACATACGTACAATTTTATTGAATCTATTACGTATTAGTATGCAGAAATTACAAACTTAACCGAATCGGCTGAAAAATTATTCGGCTAATTTTTATCATGTGTTTCAGGATTATGTTACAGCTATTTTCATAATTTTTTGGACACCTGCTCATTACCCGAAATCTTTTTGGTCATTCGGTAAATTACCTAATTCTCCGGAAATTATATCACTGCCTCCAGACTGAAGGTCCAAAGATAGCGATGTAGTTTTTGAAAAGTTAGGTAATTTACCAAACGACCAAAAAGATTTCGGGTAATGAGCAGGTGTCCCAGAAATTATGAAAATAGCTGTAATAATACATAGCGATAAATCCCTGACATGCGATCATATTGAGACAGGGAATAACTATTACATACGTATTACATTAATACAAACAAAAAAATTAAACAATCATAGATTTTAAATAATTTATTTAAAACATTAACACATTTTTATATTATACTCAGAAAATTAAATAAGTTTTCATGAACTTAATTAATTAGCTTATTTCAAAACTTAAATAAAATTTCTTCATAATCCCTAAAATAACACGAACAAAATAAAGTTAATAGTTATCTTTCTGAAATCTGAATAGCTTAGCCTAAACACTTAGAGCATTAATTATCTTCATGCTAACGTGATACTTAATTCTGATAAAAACTCACTCGCACATTACAAATATTTTACTTGTTTTACATTATGTATTATTATATTTTATAGATATTTATAATTCTATCGCATTCTGACCTTTATCTATTGTATTTGGATTTTTTTACTTTCTTTTTTTTATCATTTTTTATTCTTTCTTTCTTTTTCTTTATTAATAAAATTTTTTTTCGCTAATGCATGTATAAAATACTGTAACAGGGAAATTGCATAAATATAATAAATCTATTATAATCATCTATTTGTAGTTGATGCAAATTCAAGTTTATTAGATCTGAGTAAATATCAAATAAAATATACTTCGCACTATTTTTTATAGTATAAATGATGCTAACCTGGTGGCGATTTAATCGGTTTACTTTACACGTGTATTTCGTATCGGCTACTACTTCAGAATAATCTTAGACTACCTAATAACTGCTCTGCCAGAGGAATTGCAATCTATATTCCTCTAAATGCAATGCGACGAGACCATATGTGCTATGTCCTTACTTTTCTGCAACAATCCTGTGCTATTTTTGACATTCCGTGTTTACAACCTGATTCCGTGAATTCTGCAGCATTCCGCGAATTGCAGTCTCTGCTTATTGGTTGTGTGGCTGACCTTCATTTTACGAAGTGAAGGTACTCATTCCTGCACTCAAGTTGGCAAGCCGGAATACAAAGTGGAAGACAATTGTTTTCGCTAGAACTATATAATAAGTGTTACGCGTTCACATTGTGTCACACGGAATCTAAGATAGAAATTTAACGGGAAACTGGTGCGGGACTGTTCCACTGAACAAGCATTGGTGACACAATGTGAACGCGTAACACTTATTTATAGCGAAAACAACTACTTTCACCTTAAATCTTTTAAAATATTTTTTCCCCATTATCCGTATTTAACTTCAGCATATTTTTTGTTTAGTCTTTATTGCAAAAACTGTTGAAGCGACATTATTGTACCCTGCCACACGAAAAGACTTTCGAGCAGGTGTTAGAGTGATGTTTGTGCATTTGCCTAGCTTTTACCAAACTCACTTTGTGGTCGGGCAGAAGTTACGGAAATGGTTGGAATGATATATTCTCAATCACAATATGGGATAGGCTCTATCTTAGGGAATATAATTTACAATTCCCGCAGTTATTGGGGCAGTCTGGGGTTATTCTGAAGCAATAGCCGATAATATATAGACTACATTTAGATCTTGCAATATAAAACGAGTTTCCGTTATAACAACAAAACCTTCTAAATACCCGTTTGAGTGCCTATACAAAATTTTAGCCAAGTAAACAATTTAATGCGTATGATTATTTAAGAATGTTAAATTATTTACGTGCAATTGTCTGTCTTAATACAAATATTTAGAAAATGCAAAACTAAATTTCCGAAATGCCATTCGAACCGAGCAAATTCTCCCCAAAACCGTTCAATGTCAAGTACTCGATGATATTTTCTTAATGTTCTGATGACCTATAGTTGTTAGACGAAACCCTTTACACAAAATGACGACCTAAAGCAGAAAAGACGAAATCTAACCTTAGTGCTCTCTCTAAAAAAAAAAACAAACAAACAAATATGCATATACTGCCAAATGGAAATGGTTTGGCAAAAGAAACAAACATTAAAATAATAAACTACCGTTTTCGCGAAATAATGCGCAGGGGTATAAATTCAAAATTTGGCACACATTATGCTTAATTCGGGCCATGGTTCTAAATAATGCTCATGAGCGTTATTACGCGAAAATAAGGTACGACTTAGCAGCTATTCATTTCTGATTTCACAGCGAATGCGTTATCAAGTAATGTGATATTTCGAGAACAGATGTGCCTTTTTGATGATTTTAGATTTAAATAAATATTTCAAATCTCAGCATAGTCGAAAACAGTATAGCTACCCTTGACTTACTTTACATGATGATGGATGACCATTTTCTTTTTGTAAATTCGAAGTTTCGTCACCTTTGCAGTTTCGTCATTTCGTCATTTAATATTTAATTGACGAAATACAAAATATGTCTGATCCATCATTGATATCTCGGGATCTAGTGATTGAATTTAGATTATTTTAGCATCATTCGAATCGTCTCATCAAGACGATTCGAAGGGTACTAAAATCATCAAAATTCAATCGTTAGATCACGAGATATCAATGATGGATCAAATTTACTGACATATCCTGTATGAAACTAGGTTTCGCGTTTCGTCTAACAACTATATGACGACCGGTTAAATAAATTGCGCCATAGCTTATAGATCACTATATAGCAAGAAACCTGCGCGAAGTCCTCTAATCATTAAGACTACAGGGAATTATTATTATATTATTACAATGTAAAGTATAAATTTTAGCAGTATGGATACGATAATTGTTTTCTAATACTTTTAAATAAAATTGGTTGATCGACCGACCGACACCCCACTGCAGGGTTGGCAATAGAGCCAACGGAGTTAAATGGTTATGTGAATGGAGCTCAAAAAACTAGTATCCATTGGCTCCATTCGCAGCTCCATTGGGCTCCATTGGGCTCCGTTGAGTTCCATTACCAACCCTGCCCCACTGATACTATAATCCTGTAGTTTAAAACATGTACCATTTTGTGTTACGTAACCAAATTTGTTTTTTAGTGCTCAAAAATAGGCTGAGATTATGTATATAGCGATAAACGGAATTCTAATTTGTAATTTCGATCTTTCTTTTGCTTTAAAATATTTTATTTTTGTATTTTTCATTTTCGTAAAAGTTTCTAAAAATTATATAAAGATGGGTAATAGATTAAGTCAAGAATGTAATATATGTACAGAAAAAAAATCACCGACATTATTTTTAGTTGTAACATCAAAATGTAAACATGTTAAGAATATATGCAGGGATTGTGTTGAACGACACATAGACGCAAGGTTATGTGGAAAAGGAGACGTTTTTATTCAATGTCCTTTTGAAGGATGTAAACAAGTCATTGAACATAATGATGTTAAGAGAATAGTTAATCATGAGTTATTTGAGAGGTAATATCAAATTAATATTGAATTTTTTTTTTTAAAGCTATATATTTCTAATAGTCAAAATCTTTTTTTTTATAAAGATTTGATACATTATCACTTCGTCAAACATTAAGAATAATGCCAGATTTTAGATGGTGTAAAAATTCTATGTGTGGATCTGGCCAAATTCATTATGAAAAAGGTAATATAGTAAAAATATTTATTCGCAATATATTTAAATTATTTATTCATAAGTACAGCATATGCCGATACTGTATACTGCTTATTCCAATCGTTATTAAATTGTTATTAAATTTTTATGTATTATGTGTATGTAGATGATGCTCCAATAATGACATGTAGATCATGTGGGGAGAAATCATGCTATACACACGATGTTCCATGGCACGAAAATATGACATGCCAACAATATGAAGAAAAGAGAAAAGAATCGGAAGCTGCTACCAATCATTATCTTATGAAACATACAAAACCTTGTCCTAAATGTGGAACTCATATCGAGAAAAATGGTGGATGTAATCATATGACATGTAAAATCAGATCATGTTCTTATGAATTTTGTTGGTTGTAAGTATACGTAGCAGGTAGAAATAACAAAGATTAATGGTAATTTGATACTTGTATAGAAAAATGTTAATATTTTCTTTCAAAAAAAATAAAAAATTATAGATGTTTGGCAGATTATAACGAGATACGCAAACACGGAAATAAAAAACATAAAAAGACATGTTCATTATATGCTTAACACTTTTTTTTTGCTATCTTTTAGTTGACCTTAAATTTTTTTTTTAACAAACGTATAGAAACATTTCTTGCGAAACGGATTTTTGGTAGTTTAGATCATTTAAAAACATTTAAAAAATATATTGTAAAAAAGAAATGTTATTATATTATCATTATATATTTATTATATATATATATATATATATATATAAAATGCTATGTAAAATTAATAAAAAATACATATACCAGACATGTAAAAAGATATGCAAATATATTAGAGTTAAATCTACAAAGTAAAAAAAAAAGACTGAATTACTCTAATTTTCGCTTTTCAAGAAAAACTTCCAACTTTGAAATATCATTAACGAGGGTAAATTTTAAATGCAAAGGTTCTTTTGGATTAACTAATCTAAAAGTATATTTTCTGTAAATAGTAGCTAAAATAACTTTTATTTCAGTCATTGCAAAATGTTTTCCAGGACATGATTTCATTCCTTGACCGAAAGGAGAGAAAGCAAATTGTGGTAAAGTTTCTCTCCAATTTCCTAAAAATCTTTCAGGATTAAAAGTGTTGGGATCTTTAAAATATTTTTCATTTCTTTGAATATGACCTAAATTTATGCCAAAGATCGTATTTGGTGGAAAAGTATGACCATCAATTTGAGTAGAAACGTCAGGTGTGTATCGGAATGTTATAGGAATAACAGGGTATAATCGCATTGCTTCATATATAACAGCTTCAGTATATACGAGTTTTGAAAGATCATAAGAACCAATGTTTTTTGTTGGACCAACGACACTTAATATTTCATTGACCATGCGTTTTTCAACTTCAGGATGTTTTGCCAAAAGATAGGCGATAGAACAAAGAGAAGTAGTGGTAGTACCAGTTCCAGCACCAAACATTTCTCGAATATTTTGTTTAATATCCTCAGGAGATGGATTAGAATCAGTGTTCATAGTAAGTAACATAGTAAGAAAATCCGATCTTACTTTAGTTCCACTCAAATTAGGACTGATAATATTTTTATTTGTAGTAATAGTATTAATATATTTTTGTTCTTCAATCAAAGCTTTACGTTCTTTTATAAATTTGATTTCAAAATCAGAGAGAGCAACCAAAACTTGACGAAAATATTTGCATTTTTCTCTAAACCAAGGTAAATTCCAGACAAATTTTGGAAGGAATACGAAAAAGGCGATAGCATCCGCGTAATCAGAACGTAATCTTCTATATTGTTCACCATTACTTAACTTATTTAAATTATTTAAATCAACAAATTCCGAATCAAAAGATAATTTAGCATTACTATCAACAGTTTTTTTATAAAGAATTTTTAAAGATTCTTCTTTAGAACCAGCAGCAACTAAACCCATCATATCACTAGTAAAAGAACGATACCATTCATCTAATCTAACGACTTGATTATTATTAATATTATTCCAATAAGTCATCATTTCTTCACAACAATCACGAGTATATAGAGTACTCAACTCTATGAAACTTGGAGGAGATAAAGATTGTTGAAAGAATTTTCGATTATGTCTCCATTTTGGTATATCTAAATTTAATAATAAACCTTCTTTATCCATACCTAATTCTTTAAAACCAGGTAATAAAGGAATTCTACGTAAAAAAGGAGAATGTACGCTTGGAGAGAATAAATCTTTTAAAAATGTAGGATCACCAACTAAAACGGTGCGAAAACCAAACATTTTTAATTCACAAATACCACCATATTTATCAGTTAAATGATAAAAATTATCAGAAAGATTTCCAAAAAGAATGTTGAGATGACCTAAAAAAGGGTATGGAATAGGACCATTAACACGATCTTTACGAGATTTAAAGTAATCAATGTAGGGATAAATCGCGAGATAAAAGAGAAGAATGAATAAAAGAAGGTGAAAATCGAGATATTTTAAAAAGAAATTATAAATCGCGTCAAATAAATGGATCATTTTTATCGTTAGAGTTGTATGAAACATACGTGTTTAATATGTTTAATAGATGAATGAATGAAAGTTACTTTTATTTTGAAAAAAAAATAAAAATTTGGATGCCTTTCGTTGAAAGCAAAAGAAAAGAGCTTTTTGAAAGTTGGATGAGAATTTTTTCGGGAAAGTACTCATTTTTATTCTTTTTTTTAACAAAAATAAAATTTAACAATCAATCAAATAATTATTAAATTTTAATATTGATAAATATTCATCAACTTCTTGACTTCTAAATTCAGCTATGCATTGTACACTCTTAATATTGTGCATTAATCCACATCGTATAACGATAATTGTAGATCTAAATAAAATAACGATATGCGAGATCACGTGATGGGCGAACCATAGATTTTCTCCGTATAGATTTGTTAGAGGTTCAAATTAAGCTTTGTATTCGTAGAACCCAATAAGCTTTCGATTGCATTATTGATCTAAACTAATCCAAAAAAGTTAAACACTAGATAAACAGCGGAACAGGGAACCGTTGATACGTCACAAAATCGTTACACAATTGATGAAAAATTTTTTTATATTATTTTACAATACTTTTTTGGAAGGCTCGCTTGACTTATCTTTTCTATGAATATTGAAAATGGTTAAACAAACATGAAGCTTTATAACATATATTTTGAATCCCCTTGAATCCCATGGTTTCGTCTTTTTGTAAATTTCGCAATTTGATTGGTTGACTAATCCCGTAGTGATATTTTGACTGGTCAATACAATGAGTGATCTGTGTAACGGAGAATGAAAATCATATCTATATTTGGACGGTTTCTCCTGTTAAAACAGCGGTACGTATTAGAAATAATGTAATAATATGCTTAAAGCAATCCACAAAATCTTACGGAATAAACGTGTGATTCACCATATCTAGGTTACAGCACTCTTTAGCAAAGAGCTCTTTGTTTATAAATAACAAATCAACTTTATCTTTCATAGAATTTTAAATAATTTTAAGGGTAATTAATTAATTATATCTATATGTAAAAGATTTAACAAACAACAACATCGCAAATAAAGAAATAGCATCACAAATAAAGAAACGGATTACTAAAGAGTTTTTTTTAAAGTACTTTAATACGTAACTAAATTCTAGACTATGACGTACTATAAGCACCATGCAAAAGAAATGAAAAGTCTAATTCCTTGTCAACGGGCTAATTGGTAAATACTTGTAATAGTAGTTTAACAAGAATATTAAAGGAAAAAACGAAAGACTACGTAACTATTTTTATAAACGTCATAATTTTTTTTACGGTAACATTAATTATAAATATTCTGAATATGTAAAAGAGAATGGTATGGTACGTATACGTAGCATTTTTATATATATATATATATGAAATTAAGTTTTGCCTATTTCCTAAATATATGTATATTTAATGCATTGCATGAATTTCGAAAATTAGGTAGTTTTTTTTGTATAACAAAAAAGATTACTGTTAGCAGTACAGTATAACAACAAATGAGAATGTATCTACTGTATAAACCATAACTATCACATATGGGTGACCTAATCATTATGGTATATATAACAGATAAGGAAGTGCAGAACCATACGTACGTACGTACGTACGTACCTTCTAAAGATTATACATAGCAAATGAGTATAGTACAGGTGACCAAAAGATTGCATGATGTGAGAGTGCGCACAGTACAAATTCGAGAGACTGTGCCATATATTAAAAATAGACAACGATATTTTTTTTTAATTTTCTAACCCTATTATTATACTTGACTTAAAAAGATAATAGACGGCTTTTTCTAAATTCATACTTTATACCTCCATACCATACGGATCTGTGTAATCAAAGAATTTACTATATTACATTTTTTTTAAAAAAATATATATGTTTCACCTGGAAGTTAATAATTAAACTAAACACTATAATATATAGCAAACTTTGACACTACTATGCTGATCGATCGAATGATCGAGTTACTACAGTCAGACCTCTCAAAGTGCACGCACTTGGGACCACACTTTAATAGCGTGCATATAGAGAATAATAAGAAAAAGTGCCTTTATAGAGGTCAAGTATAAATTTGGGTCAGCACTTGAGCGTGCATTTAGAGAGGTGTGCACTTATAAAGGGTGCACTTTTAGAGGTCTGACTGTATATAGGTCAGAATTACTATTGCCAATTTACTATAGTTAGACTAACTAGTTTAACGTAATTTGTTATATACTATATATATAGTTATGTAATATATAGTATATATTAGAAAAGCAATTAGAATGAAATTTAAGATTTTTATACGTAAGCTTGAACGAAGCAATGGCTGACTTCAGAGAAATTAAATATAACTTTAACTTTGTACTTGGAATTCATTCACTTAAAATTAACTGTATAATATTGATAAATTGAAGAAATAAAATTTACAAATATATACTTCTGTAAATACTCTAAGAAAAACATATATTTATTACATAGGTAATCCATAACAATGGGAAACCGCTGTTATCTCTTTTTTTAGTTATAATGAACTATATGAGTTCGATGCAGCTATGAAAGATTTACATTTAAGGCATTAAAAAATGTCAGAATCTTAAAGTTATGCAAATTCACATGTTCTTTTTAGAAATATAGCATATAACAATGTGCAAATTATGCTCGAACTTAACATCACAATTGAAATTTGCAAATATACCAGTACGTACAGTATATGCGTAGTAAAATAAACAGTATTTATTAATGTATACATGCGCCACCTTTTTTTCATGTGAGAACTGGTATTTCAAGAACAATAGTAATAGATATTGCATCAAATGATATATTCTTATCTATTTATTCTTACATTATTGATGCACTATCCCGAAAATTACAATAAATTAATAAACATTTGGTATTACTATAAAGAAAAATTTAGGACTTTAGAATGTTATTAAAAATATCAAAATTTTCTCATTGGAACAAATTTAAAATTTTTGCTATTGTATCGTATAATGTTAATTTGTGTCAAAATTTTGTTTATATTGTTCACGTATGAGATAAACAATATTTGTATAAAAAAATTAGACAATATGTAAAAATGTTATCCGCGATTAGGATTTTCCGCTATTCATGCTACCTTAATTGTAACATGATCATCAACTATATGTTGCAGTATTAATCAACCAACAATTAACGTTAACGTTAATTTCCGCTAACACTGTGCTATCGCTATATTTTTCTGTTGACATGCCAATTACATTTCTACATTGATCACCACTTAACGTTAAAGCCTCTTTTTAAAACTGTAAGGAGTATATTGCTTGGAAAAACCTGCCATCGAATTTTCAATTATATTTTGTGTACAGTTAGCCGTCTATGGAAAATCTAGAGTTCTATAGACGGCTAAAATATAATTGAAAATTCGATGTCATGTTTTCCTTCGATACAATAATATTAGTTTAAATTTTCAAATTTATCCTAATTTAAGCCTTCATTCTTATATCTAAATTGTTAATAATTACAAAGTGATACTGACGATCTTTGATTATATATCTGCTATTGTGTACGTACTGTACGTGCGTACACGGTAATACGTACGTACGCACGTACCCTCGCATTTTGTTGAAGCCTCCAGTGTTAAATAATTAGCATGTATGTATGTTTTATTTTATATTTCTTTTTAAGTCAAGTTAATATAAATATAACTGCTACGTATTAATAATTTTGTAATTATATATATGTATATATTTTTTTATCTATTTTATGTTATGTAATTTTGGCATTACAGAATTTCTAAAAAAAGAAATTATTATGACACTTGTGAGTATTTAACGTCTTTTTGTTCAATCAGCAGATTTGTTATCAAAGGTAAGTTGATTTGCTGAATGGTAATTGCAGAATGCGGTGGATAAAATATCATCGATTCTAAAAATATCTCTTTCATTCTTCGATTCTCATCACGTGTAACATTTTCCATTTCATTGAGATTAAATTCGTAAATTGTTGAAATATTGACTTTAGATAGAGTAAGTAATAAAAATGTGATTATTAATAAAGAAAATGGTAAAAAAAATATTTGTTGTGCCATTATCATTGTTCTTATTTCATGTATATAGATATTTTATACTGTTTGTTAGTTTTGATAAAAAATATCGTAAATGTCATTCTTCCCATTTTTATACTCTATAGAACTTAGTCATTTATTATTGTATAAGTGATCTTGAGTTTGCTTAACGAAGATCTATGCGCTCGCAACTCTAAAATCATAAATATGATAAATTTTTGATTTATTAAAAATACAATGGTGATATATTTTTTTCCGTTAGATTCGAATGTTTAAATTTTTAACTTAATTGGTTATATATTAGCACTTAAACTAAAAATTTTATTTACGTACTCCCTGGTATTGTCAATGGTTTACTAAAAATTTAATAACTCAATATACTGTATACAATCGAATCAAAATTTATGATTTTAAGTTATATATATTAAATTTATTTAGAAATCTTAGCCAAATTTTCCCGATGTTAACCCAAGAGGCAATTTAATAATATGTCTAAGGTATGTACTATAAAATATTATTTTCAAAGAATGATAATACAATTTTCAGGTGAATAGTGGATATAACAACATATGCTGTCTGTATCTAAGTGTATGTGATAAAGATTTAGCGTATATCTTAGCTTGCATAATGTTAGCACTGTAAACATCAAAGAGATCTTACTAAAATTATGGAAAAATTATTGACCTCATTTTAACTGACTATATGTGAATACCTATCTTAATAACATTAGATTAAGTATATTTTTTTCCGTTTTCAGGAACTATGTAGAACATTTTATAAAGAAGTTTTGAACCGAAGAAAAGGCAAGTATAATCATATATATACCGATACTGTAATAAATAAAAATTTTTTTGATCGCCAATCATGATTGGCTGATCATAGATGATATTTATATTTAAACTATCGCTATGACGAATTATTCAATCACTAAATATTATAATTTTTCAGTTAAGTTTGTCCCAGTGAAAACTTAAATATTCACTTCCTGTCTATAAAATTTAAATTTTGATACTAACGATTGATTGCATTTAATTAAATTTACAGTTATACGATTACGATTACGTAAACGGCCAAACGATTATATGAATAATAATTAAATTAGTTCGATCCGGGAACATAAGATCGAAGAACGAAAATCAAAAAAATGGTAAAACATACCGATAGAAATATCGGTTAAAAACTCCTACAGGGAGATCCCCAAAATTCCGGGTCGGACACCTCGGAACTCTTGCCGGAAGGGCCGGAGTTGATCGATTTTGCCCCAAGATCGCTAAGAATTTTAGTAATGAAACAATAGTCGTTCATTAAGTGAAAAGTGCCCAGCTGATAATTTTACTATAACCTATAGCTTCCGCTAACCCTAACTCAGTCCTAACCCCGACCCTAACCACGACGCATTCCAGCCATTACGACCCGGAAATCTGGGAATCCCCCTGTAGAAAATGTTAACATGATTTATTCCCAATTATAGTAATCTTCCATCAGGTATTGTCATTTAAATATCATATACGTATAGGGATAGCCGATAATAATACCAGTTAACATGATTTATTCCTGATTTAATCTCGATATATGTGATGTTTATTGGTTTATTTTTAGTTTAAATCCATAGCCATATCAGATATCCGATATGGCTATAATTAGAATATAAAAAACCGGAGACATATCGAAACCCGGTTTTACCTGGCTTTTAGGCTCCTGATATCTCCTTAAAGAATTCAATAAAATTTGTTCAACAATTTATTGCATGCGTGCAGTCCTTTTTGTTGTTATGATTCATAAGTACAACATGAAAGGTATTACAAATATCGGCTTTTTTTACTTACTACGTAAAAACTAGATACAATATTAAATAATGTCCATATCTACTAATGACAGAATTGCAGAATTAAATAAATTGTTAATATCAAAAGGCATCAAATACTTATCGATTCATCATTGGCAATTTTTTCTATAATTTTGAAATCAGTTGTAATAACGGTATGATATTAAAATATAGTTGACCAAATTAAAAAAAAACCAGAAGTAGTGAAAAAAATTGCCAAAAACATAATTAAAAAATGATCTATATAATGTTATAATTTATTCAAAAATAATTTTACATTTTGGGTTCATTAAAAATAAGCCAACTTTATAATAAATTTTAGAAGCTTCAATATTATATTTTTGAGTTTTGAATTATAGATTTGGGTTTCAAAGTTTCAATTTTTTAAAAAAATTCTGAACCTAATTTTGGGTAGATTTTATTTTGATGCCATCTTTAGTATAAATAAGAAATGTGTGAAGAATTCATACTAATAGTTTTTGTCAGGAAAAAATTTGAGATTAATCAGATTAATTACACTTTTTTTTTACTTTCCACTATAATCAACAAATAATATACTCTGGATAGATTATATGAGATTTTATATTAATTTCGAAAAGAAAATAATCATCAGATTTGTGAGAAAGCCTTTTAACATCTTTTGGAATCAAACCATCCATACCATATTAGGCAGTTCCTGTGGCAATTTCATGTCTTACTTACGAGTTGATTAAATTTTGGTGTACCAAGAGTATTACGTTTGAAGATTGCCTTTGGTGGAGGTGGGCTTGGATTACAAAGCTTACTGTATAAAGTACCAAATGATCTGCAAAAATCTCTCACACTCTTAAAAGAGTTTCTATCTCATTAACAAATAAATTCATCTCTTTGATTGAAGAAGGAATATGCACTTGGTCGATATGAATCATCATATACATTCTCTAGATAAGCTCCATCATATAGAAATCTATTTTGTATTCTATATAGACAAAATAGTTTAAAAATTAACTATAAGAAAAGGCAAAATTAAAAAATATTAAAATTTACTCACTAACACATTGAAAACCTAAAACCTTCAAGTCTGCATCCTTTTCCATACATGAGTCCAAACAATCTTTCATGAAAATCTCAACTCGAATTAAATCCTTGCAATTCTTGTATATATTGTTTCTTTCCGAAGATGGACTTCGCTTACAAATATAACACCACATATTTGTAGTTGATGAATCGCAGACACTATGAAATCTGGTTGTTTTGATCTTCCTTCTAATTTCCTTGTCTTGCTTTCGTCAAGACCAGTATTTAGCCACTCAATAATGTGCCTATTAGGGTCATGCAACATCCCCCTTATTATGAGATCCAAATAGTTTGCTATAAATGTCATTTCGCTTGAATTGTTTTTAATCTTCGTAAAAAGTAATGATTTTATATAGTCTAGGATTATAAATCTCATATTATCCTTCAAGGGTTTATTATTGGAAAGTTCTGCCATCAACCAATTCGTAGCATGACTAAACGATTCTTTTGTTGCTCGCTTTATTGCATTCCTGAATTTTGCTTCACACTCTAAATCCAATACAGTTTGCTGTGCTAGGATAATTCGTTAGTGAATCTCATCTAATAACAGAGAACCGAATATATCAATCATTTTTTTTGAGTGTGAATCGGGAATAAGTAAGAAAATTGAAGAAAGTGAAAGTATCTCATAGACATTCGATTTAACAAATAAACCTTCTATTTTTGCAATATTTATAGAACTATTCTGATACTTCCAGAACAAATTAGACACATTGGTCTCTTTTATCTTATAATCATCAGCTGAGTTTCCACCTATAAAACATAGATCATCGACATCATCTATTATAAAGATATCATCTACTTTGTTTTCTACTATAAATAGATTATTGATACGATTGACGAGTATTAGAGGTTCTGCCGGCGAATTGTTTAATACTGAGCTATGGGTAATGGTGTAGTATAACCATGGGGTGACAGTGTAGTATAACCATGGGGTGACGGTATAGTATAACCATGGGGTGACGGTGTAGTATAACCATGTGGTGACGGTGTAGTATAACTATTGTTAAATGATTCTGATTCTTGTGATAGTGGTATAGTATAACTAGTGTCTGAGCAATGTGCTCTTTCTTCTTCTCCACTTGCAGACATTTTCTTTTTTCTCTTATTATTTTTACCACCTTCTAATGCATGTTTTAATGTTTTTATTGCATTATTATCACCTTCTAACGCATTTTTTAATGTTTTTATTGCATTATTAGTTGATATACTACATATATGATGCTTTTCATTATTGCAATCATTCAACATGCATTTGGCATAGTTTAACTATTTCATGTAGTTGATCAGTTTCTTAATAAAATATATAAAAACTTTGTGGATGGTAGTTTAACAGACCTGTATATTCTCAATTTCATTTTTAAAGTATTCTTTATCAATCAATATCCAAAAATTGTTTACAGCTTCGGAGGATTTTTTAACCTTTGTATAGGAAAAAAAATAGATATTAATAAAATAATTAAATAGCATTTTTTGAACTACTTTACCAATTAAGGTGAACCATAACATGGGATGAAGGCAAACAACCAATAGGATGAAGGTATCTGGTTACACTATGGCAGACTAAGGCTAACAACCAATGGGACAAAGGCATCTGATTGTAAGTTTATTCAAGGCACGAGAGAAGACAAAGTTCACATTTACTAGCCAGGGTGAGAGTAGCTGGCAACTCGGATTTGTCAACATGTAACACAATTGTTTTTGAGACATAATCTAGCCTTATCTTAATCTGTAAACATAATTCACAATAAAATTATACTTAACTTCAAAATTGAGAAGACATGTTTTGGCTTCTTCACTAGAAAGTGTTTTTAAAGATGACTTGTACAATCTATGTTCCTTTCTTTTAGAATACGTAAAATCATAAGCCTCTTTTCTATACGAAGATACTTGATTAGTAACCAATTCACATTATTTTTGAAGAACTCTTCTTGTACTACTATTATTTGTGATTTAGTGGGTTCACTTGACATTTCTTCTGTTTAGTACATATAGTTGGTGGTATAGTTGGTGATATAGTTGAAAATGTGTCATTACGTGTCATCAGCACAGGTTTTTATCAATTTTTAATAGCTGCAGCTGCCTTGTCTTGATTAGTGCATCGGAGTACGTCAAGTATAACCCGAATTTGCATGAGGAGAGTGTTGCGAATACATACAAAATACTATAATTAGAAATTTTATTTTGTATTCGCAATGCAAAAAGATGTTGTTCTCATACAAATCCAGGTTATACTTGACATACCCTGACGTACTAATCAAGACAGGGCGACTGTTAAAAATCGATAAAAGCTTGTGCTTGTGTTATCACATCAAAAGTGCTATCTGTTTCTCCTGCAAATTTGCCCTGAATTTTCAAATTTAATTGAATATTTTATGTTAGTACTCATATTACATCAAAAAATTATAATTAAAACTATCTTATTTAAAAATTATATATTTTACTTATTATTTTTTTTTGATTATATAGTTATTACTTATTCATTGGGAAAATAAATTTGGTGCAATCTGCCAACCCGGAAATTTTTACAAATTTTATGATATCTCATTATCTAATTTGTTTTATCGAGTCTGATTGAATAGTGCTAAAATTTTTAAATTGATCACCATATCACGAAATAATAATTCTTGAATATTATTTATAAAAGCTTAATGATCTTGATATTTAATGGTCAGAACTTGGTGATTTTTTGACACTATTCGATTCATCTCTATGAGACAGTTCGAATAGTACCAAAATCAGCAAATTCTAATTACTAGTTTATAAAATATCTGTAAAAAATGATCTGTAGTACTGTTTTGTGCAGAAAGTTTTGCATAAAACCATATTTTAAATTTTTTTGTAGATATCTAGTAATCCAATGATTAGAATTTGATGATTTTGATATTGTTCGAACTATCTCATTAAGAAAAATCAAATGGTATCAAAATAACCAAGTTCTGACTACTAGTTAACAAGATAGTTAAGCTTTTATAAAATTATATATAATAAATATTAATATTCTGTAATATAGTGATCAGAATTTAATAATTTGAGTAGTATTTAATCTATTTAAATGAGACAAATTGAATAGTACTAAAATTTTTAAATTCCAATTACTAGATTATGAGATATCATAAAATTTGTAAAAATTTCTATAAGGCCACACAAACTTATACTATTGGTTCTCATAACCCGGCCGGGTCAAATTCAACAAAAGTTTGAAAAAAATT